TTAATAATAAGCATTATTGTCAGACACTTCATGAAATTCCTATGATGATAAAAATAATGGAAAGACACTATGAAATCTTACTGTTCAAATACAGTTAAGTACTGATTACAAGTACTTGGGTTAGACACTTTTTGTCAAGTAGGTTTTGATGTGAGAAACAAAGGTAAATGAAAAATTAAATTTCCTCACTGCCTACAGCCCATTGATATAAGTCCTTGAACTAGGCAGAGTGACCTTCCTCTAGGAGCTTAGCTGCCTGGACGACACTCTGCTCAAGGCAAAAGGCAACCTTAGCTCCACCCACCCCCCACCCCCGCCCCTAAGGATCCTGTAAGTCTACTTTAATATATACAAATTCCTCTGGAAACTTCTTTTATTTCTATACCCAAAATATATGTTAGCGATCATCCTCCAAGCATATGGCTCACTGATATAAATCAGAAGGGTCTCATGACTAAGATTTTTTTAGACAGTAATAAATGACCTTTTCGGAACAACACTTAGCTCCTTCAAGGTCCTGGAAAACTTTTTTTCCAAAATACCTTGAAAGCCTGTGCTGTCCCTAACCCCCTCCCAATTTGAAAGTATAGGAATGTCTGGGTGGCTCAGTCTGTTAAGCATCTGACTTCGGCTCAGGTCAAGAGAGAGTTCGAGCCCTATGTTAGGCTCTGTGCTGACACCTCAGAACCTGAAGCCTGCTTTAGATTCTGTATCTCCCTCTCTCTCTCCCCCACCCTCCCCTGCTCACGCTCTGTCTCTCTCTCTAAAAATAAATGAACATTAAAAAAATTTTTTTAAACCAAAAAAAAATTATACAAGTCACCTGTTAAAATTTTTTTAAATGTTTTATTTATTTCTGAGAGAGAGAGAGACAGCATGAGCAGGAGAGGGTCAGAGAGAGAGGGAGACACAGAATCCAAAACAGGCTCCAGGCTCTGAGCTAGCTGTCAGCACAGAGCCCAATGCAGGGCTCGAACCCACGAACCATGAGATCATGACCTGAGCTGAAGTCGGATGCTTAACCAACTGAGCCACCCAGGCGCCCCTACAAGTCTCTTGTTAAAACTCCAGTGTAGCTCTTCCTGCCCACAGGTCCTGCTTTAATAAAAGCACCTCTTTGCACCTTAGGCATCTCAAGAATGGTTTCTTGACCATCGGCTCTGAACCCCAACATCTTCTATATCAGGAATCACAGTGAAAACAAAAGAAAGTGATGTGTTGATATTTTATCCACAGATTAGTACTTTATGAAATTATATTTCATACAAAGGACTATTATACATATGTAAGAGAAAAAAAATTAGTGAAGGCTCCATCGAGAGAATACTATCAATGCTGTGAAAGCTTTGCTTTTGCCCAAATTTTCCTTTTACACCCATAAGTAACTACTATCCTAAATTCTATGTCTAGCATTCCCCTACTATTCTTTATAGTTTTACTATATATAAGAAACAGATTTGTTTATACCATTTTATTCATTTAGATTTTAATTTTTTAAATGTTTATTTATTTATTTAAAAAAAAAAAGAAAGAAAGTGTGTAGGCATGCATGTTCTTGGGGAAGGGCAGAGAGGGAGGAAGAGAGAGAAGCCCAGGCAGGCTCCATGAAGAGTCTTGCAGGTCTCCATCTCACGAACTGCGAGGTTATGACCTGAGTTGAAATCAAGAGTCAGATGCTTAACTGACTGAGCTACCCAGGGCCCCTTAGATTTTTATTTTATTTTATTTTATTTTATTTTATTTTATTTTATTTTATTTTATTTTAAAAAGAAATGGTAGTACATTCGTCGTACAACAAAAAGACAGCCACTGTGAATGTAGTAAATTTGTGAAAACTCAAGAAGTGTAGGTCATTTTATATATATACATCGAGGTCACTGCTGTCAGTGCAGAGCCCACTTCGGACCTTCTGTCCCCCTCTCTCTCTGTCTCTGCTCTGCTGTGCTCTTTCTCTCTCTCTCAAATTTTTATTTATATATTTTTTAGAGAGAGAGTGCATACACATGCACCCAAGCTGGGGAGGGGCAGAGAGAGAGAAAGAGAGAGACTCTCAAGCAGACTCCACATCCAGCATAGAGCAGGATGTGCAGGGCTTGGGCTCTCTCCCATGGCCTCGAGATCATGACCTGAGCCGAAATCTAGTCAGACACTTAACCGACTGAGCCTTCCAAGCGCCTGCTAACACTTCTATGTGAAAAACTTTTGGACATTTGCTGAATTCAGTTTCTCCCATGTATGCATTTTCCCTGATGAACAATGCACTACAGGTTATTATTGAAGATTTTGTCATATTTATTTAAAACACATTTTTAATGTTTATTATTGAGAGACAGAGTACGAGTGGGGAGGGGCAGAGAGAGGGAGGCACAGAATCTGAAGCAGGTTCCAGGCTCTGAACTGTCAGCACAGAGCCTGATGTGGGCTCAAACCCATGAACTGGGAGATCATGACCTGAGCTGAAGTAGGGTGCTTAACTGACGAAACCACTGAGCCGCCCCAGTTTGGTCATATTTATTTACTGCACTAGAGTTCTCATTTCAGCTCTCTACGAAAATAAACATCTGAGTGGAAGTTTCTCTTTAGTCACCATAAGAATTATCACTCATATGCCTTAAAGGCTCCCTCATTTTCCCCATATCCATCTGATTTCCTGCTATATGCCGTCTGTGGTGTCTACCGAAGGGTGACTTGACTCGAAAGGCTTGCACACACTCACTGCGTCTGCAGGGTCTCTCTCTTATACGTGACCTTTGATGCCTACTTGGACCAGGCTTCCAGGCGGACGTTTTCCCACGTTCCCTGCATCCACAGGGCTTTGCTCCTGCATGGGTCCTCCCCTGTATGATGAGAGGGGACTTACGGCTGAAGGCTTTCTGACAGTTACTGCCTTCACAGGGTGTCTCTCCTGGGTGGGTTCTTTGATGGACAGGGAGTTGTGCCTTCTGTGAGAAAACTTGCCCACAGCCACTGTGTCTGCAGGGTTTCTCTCCCACGTGTGCGCTCTGGTGTAGAGCGGGTGTTGATTTGGAACTGACGGCTTTCTGGCATTCATTACAGAGGGAAGTCTTCTCCCCTCTCCCCATTCTCCCTTCTCCCCATTACAGAGGGAAGTTACATCAGAACTCTCTGATGTAAAACGAGTTCTGACTGCTGCTCAAAGGCTTTCCGATGCTGACTGCAGTAGTAAGGTTACTCCCCAGTATGAATTCTCTGATAGAAAGTGAGCTCTGACTTCTCGATGAAAGCCTTCTAACACTCTTTACATGAAAAGGTTTCTTCTCCAGGGTGAGGTCTTTGGTGTTCAATGAGCTGTGACCTATGGATGACAGCTCTCTGACACTGACTGCATTCACTGGGCTTTCCTGTGGTTTGCATTTTGTGAGGTAAAATGAGACTAAACTTGAGAGAAAGTTCTTCCACATTCCTTACAGCCATAGGGTTTCTCATCTGTATGAGTTCTCTCATGCTTCACAAGATGTGGCTTAGTAATGAAGGTTTTCTGACATTCGTTACATTCATGGGGTTTCTCTCCTGGATGAGTTCTCGTATATAAAATACGCTCCACTTTCCGAATAAAAGCTTCCAGACATCCGTCATATTCATACTTTTTTTTCTCCTGTATGAATTCTCTGGTGTACCATGAGCTGTTATTTCTGGGAGAAAAATTTTCTGCATTCACTGTATCCATAGGGTTTCTGCCCTGTGTGACTTCTCTGGTAGAGAAGGAGTTATGGCATATCGTTAAAAGATCTTTGACATTTACTACCTTTACAAAATCTCATTTCTTTTTTTTTTAATGTTTTATTTATTTATTTTTGAGAAAGAGAGATGGAGAAAGAGCAGGGGAGGGGCAGAGAGAGAGAGAGAGAGAGAGAGGGAGACAGAATCCCAAACAGGCTCTGAGCTGTCAGTGCAGAGTCCAATGCGGGCTCCTTAGGTTTTCACTCATCCGCCTGGCTGTTATCCATTCCCGCAGATGGTCCTTACTGCTGACTTCCTCCTTTACAATCCATGGCAGGGATCCCTGCTCCAGCTGGAGGACTCTGCTAGTTGGGAAGCCTAATGATTTGATTATGGCTAAACATGGAGTCAAGAGCTTGGTCTTCAGAACCTCTGAAGAAAGAGGAAGCGGCTGTTTCAGAGTCAGCACCTCAGCAAAGTAAAAACCTTTTTTTAAAAAGTTTATTTATTTTTAGAGAGACAGAGACAGCACCAATGGGGGAGGGGCAAAAAGGGGGGGGTGAGAGAGGGTGAGAGAGAGAGAGAGAGAGAGAGAGAGAGAGAGAGAATCCCAAGCAGGCTCCACACTGCCAGTGCAAAGCCTAATGTGGGGCTCAAACCCATGAACCGTGAGGTGACAACCTGAGCTAAAACCAAGAGTCGGTGGACGCTTAACTGACTGAGCCACCCACGTGCCCTGTGAAACACTTTGCCTTGGGAGGTGAGAGTGTGCTCCCCTCACCACATTCAGACAGACACAAAGGTTCTACCATTTATAAATCCTTGTTCAAAGACATTAAATACCTCAGGGAACTTATAAATACCAGCAGTGAAGAAAGAAATGGCAACAGACTGGGGGTCACCATAGTCCTTGCCCACTGATCTGAGGTTGCTGTAAGCGTCCAGCATTACGTCCCAGTACAGCCTCCTGTGGACCACACCCAGCAGCTGCCAGTCCTCTGACATGAAGTGCACAGCCACATCCTTAAGTGACGGTGTTACCTCCAATGACACGTTCTTGTTCCAAGTGATTTTTCACTCAATGGTATGGGGAAAAAATGCACATGAATTTATTATGATCATTTTCACAATACATTATCGACCCAAGGTTTGGTGAATCTAATTTTGCCTTGTACCTAACGGAAGAAACTTAAAGCTCATTAAAAATATCCTGCCATTCAAAAGTCAACCCATGTAACTCACCACACTGACAGAATCAAGGATAAAAATTTTTTTTTTTTAGTTTATTTATTTACTTTTGAGAGAGACAGAATGAGCATGAGTTGGGCAGAGAGAGAGGGAAGAGAATCCCAAGCCGGCTCCGTGCTGTTAGTGCAGAGATCGATGTGCAGATCTCCCAAACTGCAAGCTCATAACCTGGGGTGATATCAAGAGTCACACACTTAACCAACTGAGCCACCCAGACGCCTCAAGGATAAAAATCTTATCATCAAGACAATGGATCCATGAAAAATTTGTCACACCAGTGAGCACACATATGTCAAAACTACTGAATGGTTCATTAAGATTCGTACAATTTGTTGTATATAAATTTTACTTCAAAGTAAACAAAAGTACTATAAACAAATATTAAACTCTAGTTAATAATATACATGCTGGAGTATTTAGGGGGAAGATGACTAATTTTTAAAAAATATTTTTTAAGCTTATTTATTTATTTTGAGAGACAGAGAGAGCAAGTTGGGGAGAGGCATAGAGAGAGACAAAAAGAATCCTAAGCAGGCTCCACAATGTCAGCCCAGAGCCCAATGCAAGGCTTGAACTCATGAACTGTGAGATCACGACCTGAGCTGAAACCAAGAGTCAGATGCTTAACCAAATAGGCTACCCAGGCGCCCCTAATGTTTGAAATTTACTTCAAAACATATTTAAAAATCAAGGGAGAAAGGGATGGCTAAATAAAAGAAAATCTTCTGATATTCTGAGACCCAATTTCTAACATGGCAGGGAGGTGGTTTCCTCATAAAAATGATAAGCAATCCTTGGGACACCAGCTCAGTGTCCTACAATTCAATTTAATTCTGACATTAGGTACCTGCACATAGCATCAGGTTCCACACTTTAAGGGGTCAGTCCCATAAGACTGCCTTTCCCCTCCCCCACTTCAGACGCCAGTCACAAGTCCAGATTGTCACCTGTACTGCTGACTGACTGGCTATAAATCAGAGGTTCCCAAAACTTCTACTTCAGGTTCAATTAATTTGCTAGAACAGCTGAAAGAACTCAGAGAAACATTTTACTTTCTAGATTAAGAGTTTACCATAAAAGGATACAACATGGGGAGAGCCAAGTGAAAGGGAGGCATAGGACCAGGTGTGGGAAGAGGACATGGAGCCTCCATAGGCCTCCAGGTGCACCCGCCCTCCCCAGTCCCTACGTGTCCATCAACCGGGAAGCTGTCCAAACACTCTCCTTTTGGGATTTTATGAAGCCTTCATTGCACGGGCACAACTGATTAAATCATTGGCCGCTGGCAACTGATTCAATCTCTTGCCCTTTTCCCATTCCTTTAGGTCAGGGGGTGTGACTGAAAGTTCCAGCCCTCTCATCACATGATTGATTTTCCTGGCAACCAGCCCTCATCCTTGGATGCTTCCAGAAGTCATGATTCACATAACAAAAGACACTGCTCTCAGTATTTAGGAAATTCCAAGGATTTGGGGAGCTATGAGCCATGAACTGTGGATAAGACCGAATATACACAAGAAATGTATTTTGGTCATCTGAGTGACCAAATGTATATTTCTTATGCATCATAATATCACATAGGTGATCAAGCAAGTGAAACACTAATTATAGGATTTAGTTAGTTGGTATGCAGGTGTTCATTGAAAAATTCTTTCAACTTTTCTGTACGTCTGAAATTTTTTGTAACAAAACATCAAAAGATCAAGGAATAAAGCACATAATAAAATTTACCACCCTTTAATGATGAAAACTCTTAGCAAATTAGGAATATAAGTAATCTGTCTTAATCTGAAAAAATAATATCCATAGGGGCACCTGGGTGGTTCAGTCATCTCACTCTTGCCTTTGGCTCAGGTCATAATCTCATGGTTTGTGAGATCGAGTCCCACAATGGGCTCCATGCTGACACTGCAGAGCCTGCTTGGTATTCTCTCCCTCTCTCTCTGCCCCTCACCCACTTGCACATGTGCACTCTCTCTAAAAAACAAAAACAACAGCATATAAAACCTGAAGCAAACATTACATTTAATGGTGAAATACTGAAATTTTTTACACTGAGGTAAGAATGAGGCAAGGATACCTATCACCATTTCTATTCAAATGGTACTGAAGACCCTAAATGCAACTGGGCAAGAAAAAGAAATGAGAGGCAAAAGAATTAAAAAGGAAGAAATTTATCATTCACAGAAGACATGATTTTGAAAGTAGAAAATCTGTGAGAATTATAAACTATTAGAATTCATAAATGAATTTCTCAAGGTCACTGACCATAAGATTAGTATTGATAAATCAACTGTATTTCAATAGTAGCCTACTGGTAGTCAACTACTAGAAAATGAAATTAAATAATAATCCATTCATAATAGTATCAAAACAGCAAATGCCTAGCAGTAATTCTTAAAAGGATGTGCAAGATCTCAATATTGAAAACCATAAAACTCTATTCAAACACATTAAAGATAATGTAAATAAATCCAAGAATACGCCATGAACCTAGACTAGAAAATTCTACTATATACAAATGTTGATTATTCCCCAAATTAATAGAGCTAATGCAATAAAACCAATATCCTAGCAGGTGTTTTGTGGAAACTGACAAGCTGATTCTAAAATTTATAAGAGCAGTGCCTGGGTGGCTCAGTTGGTTGAGCATCGGATTCTTTTTTTTTTTTTTTTTT